CTTTATAGCTGGTGAATAGAATATACATAATATTATAATATAAATTAGGCCTTGTATTTTGTATGACTTTGTTTCATTTCATTGTTATTATATTTTGCAAAATTATTAGTCTGCATAGATTGAAAATGAGAAAACTGAGGCTTCACAAGTCAGCTTGAAAAGCAGTGTATTTGAGTACCCATCGTCTTAGTCAAAAATTGCCTTCTATGTTAAGATTACAGTGGGACAATCAACTAATCATGCATTGAGATTTTAATTTTCAAAGATCAAAAATTGGGCACCAGTCTTTCCAGGTAACATTCAATGAAGTGCAATTTGTCCTTTCCTGACATCCACTGAAAGATGACTGGCTAACGCTAGTTGGCTACATTGATTGGACCCTAACCAAATACATAAAATATGCCTCATTTTAAAAGAATGGAAGAAATCATTGGATTATCACAAACCCACTCCCACGCTCAGATAAGCAGGCCTGATAATGGTGATGGTAAGGTTACCTTTGTATATTAAAGGCCATTATTAAGGTAAACACCATTTACCTGGGGTTTAAACAACCAGCAAGCTTAAAAAGCTGGAATTTTATGTATTTTTCTTTCATCTTTTATGATAAAGCCACAAATGGCAAGTTAAAAGTTAATATGCGGGATTTATTTTTAAAGCAACTGCTGCGTTTTGTTTCACGACAGCAAATTCAGCGTAATCGTCTAAACCTGCTGCTTATTTTAACCCTTAGCCACTGAAAGTCACAAAATATCTTGAATCACAGCCTAGTTTCAGCATTGATTATATTTTCCCGTATTCTAACTTTGAAAATCAGTAACCTGTTTTGATATATGTGATAACATTTTTTAACAGAATATTTAATTTCTTATGACCGCAGGTAAGAAATCTTGGTCCTGTATATTTTGACATCAATTATATGTTGATGGGTGGAATCACTCGGTGTTTTCTGCCATTCAAGGACTCCAAACAGCCCATTCCTCCGCCATTTTGAAATACAGGTGTTTACTATGATCGTGCTAATGAAGCCCCCTCCTCAGTGTTAGGCCGTTGTTCTGGCCCTTGGAAACCACTGACTGGCTCTCCCTCGATGCAGAGAGCCTTCCCCATGGAGAGAATGAAGGAAGCACCTCAGTACCCTTAGCTGGAGGAAGTGCTGCTGATAAACGCAGCCCTTTTGCTTTCCATGGTCCTCATCCACATCTCTCTACAGCGGCATTGTCCAATACAGCATCACTACCCACATGTGGCCATTTAGATTGAAGTGTAATTAAAATAAAACTAAAAGTTGAGTTCCTCAATCACACTGCTCCATTTAAGTGTCTGCATTGCACAGCTCAGATAACAGAACGTTAAACGTTTCACCATTGCAGGAAGTTCTACCCAATGGCGCAACTCTAATGTCAGCGTTGCCCTGAGCCTGGGATTGCCTGAGAGCACCTGGGGTTCTGCGAGTTCCCTCAGTTTAAGTGTGAGGGGCTGTCCACAGTTGCTGACGACCTGGACTCTTCCACCTGAATGGATATTCACAGACCACCTCAGACTCCGAAGTTCCCCAGAATCTTTCTGCCCAGAAGCACTAGCTGCGCTGCTGCAGCTGAATGTACTGGACGGAGGGCCTTCACACGGGCTATTAGGAGCAACACCTTGGAGAAAACCTTTCTGCAGCCACAACTAGAACAGCGCGGGTGCTATACAGTCGTGTGCCTTTCTGAACGATAAACAGGCCCAAGGAAAACGAACAGATAGGCACCTAAGATGATCAAATACTCACAGAACACCTTTAATGCACAGGCTTAAGGACGGATAAATGTATGCTAAGCTAGGGTCGCCAATAAGCTTCTAGGAAGACAAGACTTTAAGGAAGATTATTTAGGCAAACAATATAAGATGGTATTCAATTAAATGCTTAATTACATAGCATCCATGAAGAAGGCCAGAGGAATTCTGGAAATAAGAGTAACAATTATTTTCGTGCTACTTCATAACTGTAATGTTGCTACTGTTATGAATCGTCATCTAAATATCTGATATGCAGGATGGTCTTAGGCGACCCCTGTGAAAGGGTCGTTCGACCGCCAAAGGGGTCGCGACCCACAGGTTGAGAACCACTGCTTTTGAAGGATAGAGGTGGAAGAAGGCTGGGCCACGTCAAAATGAGACTAGTCAGCAAACACAAGCCAAGGAAATCTCTCGGGCTTCACAATACCTTGATCCCAATGTTGGACCCTGATGGGCCCCTCGCCCCCAGCAGATTCTGCAGGTCACACTTCCCCGTGCTCCCACTTAGGGGACTTACCAACCTAGTGCCAGGCAGGACGGTGCTCTCTCTTCACTTCTTCTCTGCACACAAGCCTCTACAGACACCTCCCACTTTAATCCTGCAATCAGCGGTCCACCCCTCGACTGGAGTTCACACATGGTTATCACCTGGGGAGCGTGCCCGGTCCCACCTGCAGAGGCCTGGGCCTGATTCAATTGGTCTGGGTGTACCCTGGGCATCCGGATGTTTCCAAGCTTCTCAGGAGATACTGATGAGCAGCTAAGGCTGAGAATTATTGGTTTCCTTCCTGCCAGAGATAACTCACACCAACCAGTCCCACCCTACAGCCTGGCTCAGATGGAACAATTTGCCCCAAAACGTAGGAAAGAATTTTAATGAGCTTGGTAACAGCAGAACTGGAATTAGATTCCAGGTTTCCTGACTTCCATCTGCACCATTCTGCCTCATGGCCAAGATACTTAAAGTTTTCATATCAACTTGATAGCTAACGTGTGACCAGGAAGACAGGGAAGCCTCCAAAGATCCCCATGAAGCTTCCTTTAGTCCTTGTTCTGTCTGGTTCTTTCATTCGTATCACTCACTGTGCTTTTCAAGACACTTGCTCTCGCTCTCAGTGGCAGAGTGTGAACGACACCCTTGCTTGGGTTCTGCTCCTCTGACGCTGGCTATCGATTTCCAGTTACTGGGGAAGAGGCTTAAGTTAGAATCAGAAGCAAGCAAATGGGACTGGACGGTGTTTACTTCTCACAACCTTTTTAAAAACAAACCCGGAAAAATACATGAATGTGTGAGAGGTTTTGAGGGTGGGGACACAGGGAAAGTTGCCGGGGTCCAGCCCCAGCGGGTCAAGTGATCCCCACAACTCTATAAGGAGTCGGCGAAGAAGGATTGTCACAGAGGCAGCGCGGGGGTGCTCATCATAGCCACATGAAGCTTCCTTTAGTCCTTGTTCTGTCTGGTTCTTTCATTCGTATCACTCACTGTGCTTTTCAAGACACTTGCTCTCGCTCTCAGTGGCAGAGTGTGAACGACACCCTTGCTTGGGTTCTGCTCCTCTGACGCTGGCTATCGATTTCCAGTTACTGGGGAAGAGGCTTAAGTTAGAATCAGAAGCAAGCAAATGGGACTGGACGGTGTTTACTTCTCACAACCCTTTTTAAAACAAACCCGGAAAAATACATGAATGTGTGAGAGGTTTTGAGGGTGGGGACACAGGGAAGGTGGCATTCTTTTAGTACAAATTGCACATGTCATCTGTGCAACTCTATAATGCAAAAGAAAAAGAGGATCCTTTTAAATAGGACTCGGATCCCCATTGCTTTTTGTCCACATTTTCATATGTAATTTAGTTCTACTTAAGCTTAACTATTACTCCCACGGCAGAGATACCCTCCCAGTTGGCTAAATTATTCTCAGGAAAGTAGCGGGATACATTGAACAGCATTCGTTGCACCAAACCATTAACGGATGTTATGTTTTTATTAGAACAATAAGAGTAATAAATACAGTCTCATTTTTAAAATTATTTAATGTACCCACATGCTTGGGTCCATGATCTAATGCTCTCCTGTTTGAAAATAAGAAGCCACAGGAAGAACTGAAGCATCAGGGAGGACAAGATGGACATGAAAGTAGTTTATGAGACTGAATCCACGCCGCGGGAGCCCCTTCCCCCAAGAGAAGCAGCCTGATGATGATGATGATAATGATGAAGGCACCAAGCCCGAAATGGAATTTTATGTATTTTTCTTTCATCTTTTATGATAATCCTTTACAGCTCTAAACGTTATTTTGCGCATTATTTTACTTTATCTTCACAGCAAACTTGCTGTGGCTTTCCAGATAAGAACACTGAGCCTACAGAGAATTAAAGCGGCTCGCCCAAAACCACACAGCTAGTGTGAGGGGCTTCCATGACACAAAGGAAATATTGTCTTCCTATTCTGAGGCTTTTCATCACATCTTTCACTTTGTAATGACCTGGGTGATGTAAAGTTAATGGAGTTTCAGTTGACTTCTCTTAATCTTCAGCAGTCTTGTTACTTTTCCATTATTTTTTAGTTACCAGATTTTTATTTTTTGACAAGAGAATATCAAAGAAGGCAAAAACACAGTATTTTGTCCCATGTCTCACATAGAGTTTAGAAGACCAGCCAACAGATTTGCCAGGAAATCACTATTAGAATAAAGCTGCAACCATAACCATCACCCGGGGATGTAACCAATCAGACGGTGCCCTGCACAGGAAGAAGACAGGCAGCTGCCGCAGCCTCTAAAATACAACTACAGCAAGTCTGCAAATGCAATTACCTGGGCATGAAATCCTTCCCAATTATGCCTCTGATGCGCATGCTGTTCCACCTGGTCTGTCTGATTTCCCTCCAATAGTATCAGTTTCTCGAGGGCAATGAAACAATTCCTCCTAAGCCCTGCACTTGCTAATGTTTATATCACCACCATTTATTACCTGCCCTTGATAGTCACCGTCAACAGACCTTTCCCATATAAAACTGTTAGGAGAAGAAAGAGAAATTTCTTTGCTTTAGTTTGCATCACGCCCCACATGCCTAAGGATGGCCTTTTCTCAGCCCCAGAACATTCTTATAATGATACTTTCCCAACATATAATACCTAGCTCAGTTGATTGGAGTATCATCTGGATACTCCAAGGTTGTGGGTTCCATCCCTGGTCAGGCCGAGAAAAAAAAAAAAAAAAAAAAAGATGAGAGAACTCGGTTCAGCTCTCAAGAGCCTTCTGGGATGAACCTTTGACCTAGGAAATAGGATGCTTTGGCACTTACTTGCCAGACAAGGGAACAGCCAGCCTTCCAGGAAGGAAACTTTTGATAGATGGCCTCCTTCACAGGGAACTCCCCACAGCATCACTGGAGTGGACACTCTTCACCATAAAGACAGATTCTGCTAGAGAGAAGTTACCACATATTGCTTGAGATTACTGCCTAGTCAGCATTTGAGCCAGAAAAGGAGCGCAAGGAAAGGTGTTCTTTTGCAGAATAAGGTACCAAAAGTGGCATTTAAATCAGGGGTCAGCAAACATGATCCATGGGGCAGATCTTGCCCACTACATATTTTTGTAAATAAAGTTTTATTGGAATACAGCCACATCCCTTTGTTGACATATTATCATTGGCCGCCAGCTCTACAATGGCAGGGGTAAATTGTTGCATAAGAGGCAATATGGCCCGTAAAGTCTAAAATATTACATATTTGAAAATAAAGAATAAATATTACCTATTTAGTCCTTCAGAGTAAAAAATAGTGGCTAATCCCTGTTCTAGACAGTCCACATGCTCACCAGGAAATTTATCATCACTCATTGCAGATCCTGACTCAAGTAAATGTCTAGGTTTCTTTCTGTTGATATATCCAGAGAGGAACAATTTTCTGTGGGCAAGCAGAACACACTGGAAGGGGCTGAGGCCTGGACAGAAACATAATCCATTGCTGTAGTGCTCACCTGCAGGACAGAAAAATAGAAGTATATAGTTCAGGAATGATTCTAACTATATGACACTGGAAAAGATAAAATGATGGAGAGAGTACAAAAGGTCAGTGGTTGCCAGGGGCTGGGGGGTAGACAGTGATGAATAGGCAGAGCAGAGAGGATTTTTAGGGCAGTGAAGCCATTCTGTATGAGAATATAATCATGGGTACTTGCCTATACATTTGTCAAAACCCATAGAATGTACAACACCAGAGAGAACCGTAATGTAAACTATGGAGTTTAGGGAGTTTGGCTGATGTGTCAACATAGGTTCATTGATTTTACAACTGTGCCCCTCTGATCACATTGCCTATGAGTGAACGAGAAATACATGTCTAAAGGAAAAACTGAAGTATTACCAGAATGGATGCAAGGATGCAAAAACAAAGAAATTCCACTATACTAAGGTAGCAAGGGCTTTTTAAATTCCCTCCTGCGCTCCATGTCAGGGTCCGGGAAGAAGATATGAAGATTCTTAGACACCAGGCAAGTCATTACAAAGCCCCTGTCATTTATAGTGAAGTATGAACAACTGAGACTCCTCATAAATATTGAGGATAGTTGATGGTGGACAGCTCTGTCTCCGAGGGAATTTCCACATGATCAGATTAAGTGAAAGTGAACCTATGGAACTGGTGAGCATCATTAAAATGCTTCACATTTTAAGAAGGATATAAGTGGAACATTAGTATATAACAATTCTTTGGGCTGAAACCAAGTCTAGCAATGTACATTGAGAAGATTAATTAGTTAATGTTTATAAAGTACTGTGCCGATATGCCCTTTCAAAATGCTAAGTATTCTAAAAACTACATTGTAGCATTTTACTAAATGCAATAGATCTAATGTTCATCATTTCTTTGGTACAGGTTGGCAAAGATTCTTTTGGCAATGATTACATAGAAAACTTTAAACAGAATGATATTTCTACAGGTAAAATTTCATCTTCTTTAAAGTTGGTTTTTATAACTGTCTTCTGTGATCTGATTACAAGAAAAGCTGAATATAGAATAGAATTATTAGATCCTCCCCTGGTGGCCAGGGAATTTTTATGCATAGCTTTGTCTAGTCTTGCTTAAATAGCCTATGGTTAATTCTTTCATGTACATTCCTCCAGACAACAGGTTACAAACCTTCAATTCATGGAAATGTTTCAAAAGCAGGTGACAGGAGAAAATAGGTGCTACATTCACAAAAGATACTTTAAGAAAAATCATTAAGTATCATAGCTGGAAATGACCTCAGAAACCATTGAGATCTGATACTATCTATAATAATAAAAGCATAATATGCTAATTGGACCAGACATCCTTCCAGACAACCTTCCTGACGAAGCAGGGGCTGTGAGGGAAACCCGGGTCCCGGGTGCCAGAGGGAAGCCAATGCAGGCAACCGGGGGAAGGAAGGCCTGCTCTTGCATGAATTTTGTGCATCAGGCCTCTAGTTTTATAAAGAGAAACAAAAATTCTGAGGTTTTCTTCTGCAAACTCAGAGCATCTAAAACAAGTACATAAAGAGATGATGTCAGATAACTGGTTGCATAGATTGAAGTGAAATAGGGGAGGAAGAGGAAGGCAGCACTGCTCTAC